ATTTCTTTTTTGTTGGCTTTATTTACTCCTTATTTGATTAATTTCAGTAACTTTTAATGTCGCCAAATGAGTCTTTATTCAATAGAAAACGAATGAGAGCGATTTTGTATGCTCCAAATAATGTATTCCTATTTTATTTACAGATCCCATGGAAAATCCAGATTTGTTTGGAGGAGATATGGTGGGGGTCGATCCGAATGTAAGTTTTATATAATGGGGTGTTACACAGTGACCACCCTCAATGTATAACAAAGTCAAAATTTTTTATGGTTTTCCATTGATGAACCAACAAAATCTTGATGGAATCATCAATAATTCTATCGTAAACCATTATATTTTTATTGGTAACCAACATAAGAGTCAGTGTAAGCATTCGGACTGATTCATGACGGTCCAACACAAGAATAGCAACTTGTTTTGATGGTTTGTTCATGTTGAACCATAAGAAAATTCCATCATAGTTTCTTAGAAGTAAAATGTTGGAATGATCATTTACCATCCCCTCAATGTTGGAATTCGGACTGATCTTTGATGGACCAATATAAAAAATTTTTTTTGTTGGTATATTCCTGCTGAACCAACAATTTTTATTAAAAAATCATGGAAATGTATTGTTGTACCATTATGGACCATCACGAATTTCCATCATAGTATCTCAGAAATCTAATGGAACGATTATGAACAACCATCATCCCAATGTAGTTATTCGGAGTAATTTATGATTCAATCACATTTCATGCTTCCATCATTCCATTCCAAACTTCCATCATTCCATGATGGAAAATGCTACTTTAAAATAATGATGGTTAACCATCAAGAGAAGTGTGATTCTCATTTACCAACGATCTATGATATGTTATGGTCCATGATGGTTTATTAGGAATTCTTGTTTGTTCGCAGGAATATACCATTAAAACAATTAAGCAAAAAAATTTTTTTTACGTTGGACCGTCATAAATCAGTCCAAATTCCTACATTGGAAAGATGGTGGTTCATGATCGTTCCAACATTTGATTTCTAAGATGCAACGATGGAAATTCGTGATGGTCCATAATGGTACAACAATGCATTTCTATGATGGTTTAATAATTATTATTTTTCGTTCAGCATCATACTATCAAAACAATTTGTTTGCTTTTTTACGTTGCTTCATCAAAAATCAGTCCGAAATCCTATATTGGGGTGATGGGGGTTCATAATCGTTCTAACATTTTATTTCTAAGAAACTATGATGGAAATTTCTGATGGTTCAACATGGACAAACAATCAAAACAATTTGTTATTCTTATGTCGGACCATCATAAATCAGTCCGAATTCCTACAATGGGGTGATGATTGTTTATGTTGATTGCCATCAAAAATATAATGGTTCATGAAGGAATTATTGATGGTCCATCAGTGATTACCGTCAAAAATTTTAACTTAAAAAATATTGTATCCCACGGGAGAAACTTTTCGTTGCAAATTCGCTTTTAATTCCATAAATAATTTAAAATTTAAAAGAGAGAAAAAGTGAATTCGGGCAAACCTAGAGTAAGCCATGTTGTTTCAATTGTTGAAAAAAAAATTTAAAATATCAAAATGCAAACAAATTATTGGGAGAGAACTTCTCCATTGCGTAATCCTAAGTTATCTACTCATAATTTATTTTCATTTTGTTTTTTTTTCAGTATTTGAAACTCCATGTCTTACTCTAAGTATGTATGAACTCACTTTCTCCATTCGTTAAATAAGTTATGGAGGTGAAAGAGAAGTTACGTTCTCCTGAGATATAGCGTCCTCTTAAGGGCGGTGATTACAGAACATCGTGTATAAACTTTTGCACAATCAATTCTCTAAAACTATAGAGTGATATCGGGATTATTTTATTTTACAGGATAAAAATGCGATTCCAGGATTTCAATTGAGATGGCCTGCAGGAGACGTTGCTTATGTAATTGACCCTTCACTAGGTGATTTTTTTCCCTTCAGTTTTTGAAAAGACAACTATATTCTGTTGCAAGATAAGAATAGACCATTTGCGGTATAGGATTTAAGTAATCATCCGCGACTACGCATCGTACCGTTTTATTTAGTTATCAAATTATACAAATACGCTTTAAAAAAAAAATACAAAAGCTTTTAAAAGTTAAACTCTTCAGACAGAATTTTAATTCGCGATATCTTTTACTAGATATATTATAGAATTATTACAAAAGGATTATAGTTTCACTGGAATCCTGGACTTGGTGTCATATTTCGAGAACGTTCGCTCTTGAAAAATAAACAACTATATGACGTTGCAGGACCATTGGATTTGATTGGACCACTGAAAATGGCGCGTCTTTTACTGACATGACCTTAACCAATCTAATATGGGAATTTTTTGTTTTATTTTATTTCGTCGTAGAAGAAAATTGTCGGCAAGAAACAATATTTATTATTCCTTCATCAGTTTCTTTAAATGTGAAGAGAAAGACCTATATTCGCTATGATTTTAAGATATAATTTTCATTAATTCATGTAAATAAAATATAATTTTTTTGTAGTTTATTAAATTTTGTTTTCCTCATTTCGCACGATTTAAGAAAGCAAGCGAAAAGAAGGCTGCTCAACGTCGCTTCGAGAATTGGCGATGTTGATATATGTTGGCGCTGGGAGCTTAGCATCCATTTGGCGTGCACTTAAACGCAAGCAGGCTCTCTAAATTGGGATAATGGTTCTTTCTTAACTTGCAACAGAGTATAGTATCTAGTCTGTATTTAAAATAATTATGTAATTTGAGCCACAATGGCTCAGAGGATGGAGAGTTAGCTTTCCAATGAAGTGAACCGGGTTCAAATCCCAGCGATGGCTGGTTGATACGAATTCCGCATCCGGCTTGCAGCGACCACAGTGATGACGTAAAATATCCTCAGTGGTTGCCGGATCAAGGGTTAGAGTCCCCTTGCGTCAGGCTAACCGTGGGAGGTTTTCGTTGTTGTCCTCTTCATGTAACGCAAATGCGGATTAGTTCCATCAAAAAGTGCTCCACGAGGGCAAAATTTCTCCCAATACTTGATCCAGAAGTTCCCATGTCTTCTGGATTAGGTTCAAGGTAATTAGGTTAGGCATTAGGTTTGGTAAATTACAAGGCTACTGATTTGGATATTAGTAGTTGTAAACCTTAAATTGGGTCGGCTGTTCATCAACTGTTATAAAATAAATTAAAATTACGCAGTTTGATTAATTTTCAAGGTTTGACTAAAACTGTGCACATACAAGATGCATTGAATTGTATAAACTGGGCAATATCGCGAATTTGTTTTGGCTTAACTAAAGTAGAAAAAGTGAGGTTACTGCTATCTTGCTAGAAAATTTAAAGCATTTTTAGTTACTTAAGCAATAGTTGACATGTGCTAAACGTGTTTCTGTTAACAAAGCATTTTTGTAAAAATCTACGAAAAAATTGAGTGAATTTCTATGAAGATGCTGTAACCATGTGGCGCCTATACTATTTGTAAATATATAGAACAGACGTCACATGGTTACGCGTTTTCACCATTTCCCACATTTCCCCCCTCTCCGCTACCATTATTTACACCAAATTTTTCCCCAAGGCAATACTTTTCAGTAAAAAGTTTAAATGTACAGTGCGCCAAAAAAGGACCACCCTGAATAACTTTTGATCTAATGATCGGATCTTCACGTTCTAGCACTTAATCTTAAGGGTTCGAACTAATCATAAAGTTCGAGGGGGTGACCTCAATTATGCTAATTCGTTAATGCAGACGATATTTTAAGTAACGAAATCACACTCTTTTTTACCGAAAGATACTGAATTTGGATCCCAGAAATATAGGAAATAGTCACAATCTAGGAAATATGGTCCCCATAGTTTGATCCGTAGAACGTTAATTTTACTTTTTGCGTATTTTGCCATAGCTCGAGATGTTTTTAAATGAGTTGAGAGATTTTTGCACACAATTATAAAATTCTTTTTTCCAAAGGTCCATGTAAAAGAATGTTTTTCCATGTAAAAGATAAATTTTAGTGCATATTTATGACGTACATTATTATGATAAATTTTAGTACATATTATTAAGGAGCAACCTTGCATAACGTTTGATCTAATAATCAGATCCTAATGCTCTAAAAAACTCAAACAATATTAAATTAATTAATAAAAATTAATCATTAAAAATTTCTTTTTTGTTTTATTTTTATTTAAACTAGTTTCTTTACTTAAATGCTGGTCTATATTTTTTCATTTGAATAGAGAAGCACACAGCTTTAATCTTGGAAGCCATGAAAGATTATGAAACCAAATCATGTGTCAGATTCATAAAAAGAACTTTGGAAAGAAATTACATCCGCTTGTTTACAGGACAAGGGTAAGGCTTTCATTTTGATATAATAATTTAAAGAAGAGCAACATGGTGTCTTTAAAAAATATACACTACTTGTTTCCACTTGGTCCGCTAGATTAAGAACGTTTTTCTTATAGGCATAAGTTAATAAAAGATACTGCATTTTTATTCCATTGTTATCCATTGGTGAAAAAAGTTTTCACATAATATGTGTATATATTGCGGTGAAACACCGAAATCTGGAGAATGTCGTCATCACCGGTGAATGCCAACATTCACGTAGTCGTTTGGTGTATGTCCGAAATATTTGCTAAATACCCTTATTTCTGACTCTCACCGGTGAATGTCAACAATCACATAGTCGCTTTGGTGAATGTCCGAAATATTTCTTATATCCAATTTTATATTAATTTATTCGCTAATATTATTATATTTATTTGATATATTTATATTTATTCTATATTTTAATACTTACTGNGGGTAATGTATACCGGGCAGTGGCACTTAACCATAAAAAACATCAGTGTAGGGTTAAAATATCGAATAAATGTAATTATATCCACGAATAAATTCAAATAGAATGTAATAAATATTTCGGACATTCACCAAAGCATATCTGTGATTGTCGACATACAACGGTGAGGGTCCGAATGTACAAGAATGCAATGAAATATTCGATCTTTCACCGACGTATTTGGTGTTAGTCGACATTCACCGGTGAAAGTCAACAACCACCGATTTCGGTCTTTCGCTGTGATACATAATATAAGTAACTAGTTTCAGAACCGCCATTTTTTATGGGCATCATATTTTTAAAATGCAAATAAATAGTTACCACCAGGTATGAGCGTAGTTGAGTAGGGGGGATTGCGGATGTACGTCGCCTTCAATAATTCTAAAATTCTAAAAATCCCCTGCAATATTTCAGACTAATGTAGAGAAAAAATTGAAAATAAGAACAAGAAAAAGAAATTAAAATTAAAATAAGAAAGTGAACAAAATTATTACTCTTTTTTGACGACTTTTAACGTATTTAAGAACATTTTTTTCCTGTGCATGAAATTTAGGAACGATTGTGAATGCGTCATTTAATATCTTTCCCAACAAAAACTAGTCTCCTGTGACGCCTATAAGATGAGATATAGATAGTAGACATCTGCCTATAATTGAATCGAGAATTATAACCATGACATTCCACCATCTGTTGGAGCTTCGTAATCAATACACATCAAGATAAATTTCAACCCAATTGCATCGTTATCATACTTTATTTATGTTCTTTTGCTTGTATTTCAATAAAACAAAATGATGACGTTATTTACTATTTATCAAATAATACTCTGTTAAAAGGACGCCATACCACGGGAAAAAGTTTTCTTTGCAAATTCTCTTTCACCTCAATAAGTATAGAGAGTTCAGACAAACCCTAGAGTGAACCGTAAAGTTTTAATTGCTTAAAATTTTTTTTCCCTAAAATGCCAAAATGCAAACAAATTATTGGAAAAGAACTTCTCATTTGCGTTATTCTAAGTTATCTTATCATAACTTGTTTTTATTTCGATAAATTGAAAAACTCTTTACAGTATTTGTGGCTCAATTTAGGTTTGTCTTAGCTCACTTTTTCTATACTTTAAATTGCTTATTGATGTGAAAGAGAATTTGAGAAGAAAAAATTTTCCCTGTGGTATGGTGTCCTCTTAAGAGGGAATGATCGATCCCCTTTTTATAAGGCCTTTTTATAAGCTTATAAGGTTCTTTTTTATAAGGAATTTTATGATCAGAGAGAGAATGTAAATATTTTCAATTTAATAAGAAGGAGTCGAGAGGGCTCAGAGGACAGAGCGTTCGCCTTCCAATAAGGTGAACCGGGTTCGATCCCAGCGATGGTTTGTCTGTACGAATTCGCATCCAGTTTGCACCGACCACAGTGCTGAAGTGGAATATTCTCAGTGATAGACAGATCATGGGTTAGAGTCCCTTTGCCGCCAGGCTAACCGTGGGAGGTTCTCGTGGTCTTCCTCTCCATGTTACGCAAATGCAGGCTAGTTCCATCAAGAAAGTCCTCCGCGAAGGCCGATTTCTCCCAATACTTGATCCAGGAGTTCCCTTGTCTTCTGAATTGGGTTCAAATTTACAAGGATACGGAGTTGAACATTAGTAGTAGTAAACCCAAAAAAATTAGGTCGGCTGCTTGACGACGGTTATAAAATAAAATTTAATATGAAGAATGTCACTCGAAAATTTTCCCAATAAAAAATTACAAATATATTTTTCCCCAACACGGCATTTATTAACACTGAGAAAAACTATTTTGTTGTGCAGGAAATCATGCAAATCAAAATGCAGTCTACAACGCTTGCCCATCAAAATATGTCATAAAATTCAGCAGTTACTTGAATTACACATGAAATAATAATCGAAATAATTCTCTACATTAAAAAATCACAAGCGTCGCAAGTTTTGGACTTTCAAACTTACTTTATATTCTGTTTCGCTGTGCAAAAACTATTAGACCTGGGTAATACTTTGCAGAATGTTTGGAAAAATATGCAGGGATTATGACTTTATAACCGTCGTTGAACAGCCGACCCAATTTTTGGTTCTACGACTGCTAATGTTAAACTGCGTATCCTCGTAAGGGGACTTACGAGGCTACGTAAGTTTAGGGAACTCCTGGATCAAGTATTGGGAGAAATTTGCCTTCGAGGAGGAATTTTTGATGGAACTAACCCGCATTTGCGTTACATGGAGAGGAAGACCATGGGTACCTCCCACGGTTAGCCTGACTGCTAGGGGACTCTAACCCATGATCCGTTTACCACTGAGGATATTTCACGTCATCACTGTCGGTGCAAGTGGGATGCGAAATTCGTATCGACTGGGATCCGAAATCGGTTCATCTAATTGGAATTCGAACGGTCTATCCCCTGCGCCATCGCGGCTCAGGGATTACGATTAAGTAAATCGATAATTAATCCGAGAACTATTATCGGAAACTGTTGTTAAAATTGTAAGGAAAACTTTCACGCGAATTGATGTAAATATGGGGTTGAAATTTAACATGCTGAAAAATATTTTTTCGTTTATAAATTTAGCAAAAGTTTTTTTTCTTTTTCGAAATTCAAATTTTTTCGAAAGTTATTGCAATTTCAATTGCTTTTTTCTTGATTTTTTTGTTTTTGTTTTAAATGATTACTATTTGTCCGCCGTTGTAGAAAAACTAAATCATTTCACACAAAGTCTTCATTTTATAAGCTTTTACTCACTTGATGTCAAAAGTGACAAAACATTAATAAATAAAACAAAAAAAAAGTGAGAAAAATAAGATGATGTCAGTAATAAATTAACATATACAGCAAAAGTTTTTTATAAAATATATAAAAGGCTCAAGAAATATAAAAAAACTGCTTCCAATTTGAACAATTAAACGGTATAAAGTGGTCGTTCTCGATTGTTCGAGTAAAATTAATTCTCATTTATAGTGTCTCTTTATAGTGTCACATATTCTTTATTCCTAAGTTTAAGTGAATGTGTTTTGTTAAATACAATTAGTTATTTCCAAATCTATTTAATCGCTCATTTAGTTCCGTTTAAATATCAACTTTTAAGAGAAAAAAACAATGGTGATCACCATTGATTTTTGAGAAATACCATCAAACTATGTTGGTTTTGTTTATGTTGGCCCAATATAATTTTGTTCCAATTTCTAACATTGAGTGATGGTCAGACTTTATGGTACCATCAGGAATGAAGATGGTTTTTGGTGGAATATAAGTTGGAAACCAACAAAATATGTTGGTTCCTGATTAATTTTTTTTGGACCATCAAAATATACCATCAAACCATGTTGGTTCTTGATGGATTTTTTTTGTTGGACCAACGAAAAGTACCATCAGATCATGGTGGTTTTGTTCATGTTGGTCCTACATAAATTTGTTCCAATTCCTAATATGA